TCTTCCTTCCACACACAACGCTTTAATCACAAGTCTCTACTGTTCTCCAGTCCTACAGGACCAACCTCCAGGGCAGGCAAAGCTTTCAGCTCTTTAATTCTCTGGAAAGTCATAGCTGTGTACCGGCTGAACTCCCCACTCACCGAACCAAGCTGAATCAAAATTTGCTGCCGTTTTCAGCACTCTGGTGGTCGAAGACAGAGTGTGAATGAGACAGGGAAAAACCAAGGAGCAATGGGCCTGAACAAGAACCAGCTCCGTCCTCAGTCTTCCGCCCACTGGTTACCCTGGAACAGCCATGAAGCCAGACTGTCTAGGTTCTGACACTGGCTGGGTGACTTAACCTCTGTACCTGTTCTTTTCTCTACTGTGGATAGCAGCTGGACCTGCCCTGCAGGGCTGTTGGGAAGATTCCCTGAGTAAGCACACCTGAGGCACCGAGAACAGTGTCTGGTAGCGTTTGCTATTATCGTCACCTCTCGGGTCCTGAGTGGCCCATGCTCGGCCTGTGGATACCCTGTCAGTCAGCTGACACCACCTTGCTTTGCAGTTGCTAGCTGAGCCTTGAGGGACAAACTAGTTCCTACGGCAACTTTCCTTTCCTGGTCAATAAGAGGATGAGCCATCCAGGGCACGCTGGCCCTGTGCACCAGGGCCGTCTCTCCCTCTGCAGACCCAAGGGCACAGTGCCGCGGCTGCGCTGATGGGCAGATCGCACGTGTGTCGGAAACCCCTCCCGGCACGAGGAAGTGGTATCAAAGGCAATCCACAGTTCCTCCTTCGGCGCCCTCACTCCTTTCCGCTTATCTTTCCAAACCAGGAAATCTTTATTTCAACAGCTTTTGACTAGAACACACAAACTTAAAAGTATATTAAAACCATTCATTCATAAGATACTTTTCAAACCACTGTCGATTTCAACTGCTTTACAGCAGTACATGCCCCAGTTTCTAAAAGATATATTAAAACATGGAAAAAATGTTCACAATATAATTTAGATGATTAAAATGAAATTATCAAAAATTTTATCTTTAGTGAAAAATATATGCCTAAATTTGTAAAAATATTGTTTAGAGAAACAAAAGGAAATACAGAAAAATGTTAATAGTACTGAATCTCCTTAAGACCTTTTTTTCATAGTTCCCAAATTTTCAACAATAAGCATAGATTCCTATTATAATGTAAAAAGTATATAATGTACAATTACATATTATATATAACTTTTCTGAGGCAAATGGTTTTGATTTAGATAATTGAGGGCTTTCAAAGGTTTATTTAAAAGTTGAACACTGGCAACTAATTCATGAAGAGAATTAGCCCAGGTATCTATACTGAGCCACGGGTGTTGAAATCTTAAGATTCTGGAGATAAGACAAGCGCCTCAAGAGGAGTGACTTCTTCCAAGGCAGGAGAGTGGAGTCCTCGTCTCCACCTAAGTCTCTATCCCAAGAATGAGTCATCCTTCCAGGCCAGCCAGGTTCCAAGGAAGGTTCCACCATGCTTCCGCCTCCCCTGCAGACGCCGGGGAGGTCACAACAAACAGAACACGGTGCCCACTCCAGCAGCTCAGCCACTTCTAAATGTCAGGATGTAAAAAGGGCAGAAAATGACCACAACTCAGATTGCATACTCATTTTCTCTTGTCACTGTGGTATGGGATTGTTTCAAATTGTGTGTCACCTTGCGCTTACAGGAACTAGGATGTCTTTGAGTTGGCACTCTGTACTTTAGGTAAGGAACTGCAGGCACAATGACAATCTCGGTGTTGCGGCCACAAACATTGACAAAATTCCCTCTGCCTTTGGTCCATAAAGTCCAGTTACTACCTACTTCAGGGCTTGTATTTCTTTAAAAGCTCTCAGAAGCCTCTGCAAGCGCTAGAACATTGAGACTCAGACTCAACCACTGGCAGCTTCAGATTGGCTCTGGTCACTGAGACCCAGCCTCCAGGTGTGTGAATCACAGTGACCCTGACATGCTGGTCTGACCACCGGATGGACTGCACTGCTCAATAAAACTCGGGCATCTTCAGTCTACCACCCGATTAACTGCGGCCTTGGAGTGAGGCGTGAAATGGCCTTAGGATACCAAGTTTTGAGTTGCCTTAAAAAAAAAACCAAACCACATTCTTTGGTATCTTGTAATGCAGTCATCTAATTCACAGCATCATCCAAACAAGACCTTTCATAAAACATTATTCATGGTTTCTAACTTTATCTAATTTGGTTATAAGAAGCAATGTGTGCAAAAGAATAATGGACATGGGTTTTAAGTGGCAAAATCACTCATCACTCTAATGTTATTGAGTATCCATGTCTGGAAATTAGTTATTGAGTATCAGTGCCATTCCTATAGTCTTGCTCTTTCCAGAAAAGTGAAAGTTGAAGGGAAAGAGAAGGAGAAATTTCTAGCTGCTATGACAAAACAACTTGACCTTTCCCCAGCCCCTCCCTAAACATACAAACATTTTCCATTTGACAGCAACTTCAAAAGGAAAGGTGTAGCATGACCTGGACCAGCACTGTGGCCAGCTGGTACCCTTTCAGTTATCCTGACCTTCACCCAAAAGCAGACATAGCTATCAAAACTCTACCTGTGTGGTATAAATAGATACCTGTCCATACCTGTACTTGTCACAATTGTCTATCTCTTAAATGCCCAAAACTAAAAAGCCCAGGGACTTCTCTTTAATTGGGCTGCCTATAATAATAAAAAATATGCATAATAAAGAAAGGAAGAAAATACATCAAAATACTTGTAATTGTGGGGGGAAGGGTGATTTTTTAAAAGTCTTCTATTTACTGTAAATGTAGAAAATAGAGGTCTATTATATATGGTCTATAATATGTCTATATTATTTTAAGGGAGAGAGAGAGAGGTGTGAGATGTGCTGCTCTTAAGAATTTTTTTTTTCTCGTCTAGAATTTTAGCTCCTAAAAGACTTTAGTCTCTTGCAGCCTCTTCACAAAGGAGGAGTCAAGTTTCAGGCTGGGAAGGGATTCTCCCAATTGAGTCAGAACAAGACAGAATGGTAAGCAAGGGTTCCTTTGAAAGTTCCACCTTCTCAAGCACACCCAGGACAGGCTGTCAGCTCCAACCTGGAGTTTTAAGCCAATCTAACCAGCACCTCCTCCTGAAAATGCAGACTCAGCCAGAAGTTTTCAACTGGCTTTGTTTGTGTTTAGAAACATTTGTTTACGTTGGGGTAATAGATATGAAATCTGTGTCAGAAACTGTGAGATTTACCCAGCTTGTCCCATGCTGTGCAAAAGTCAGTAAATGAAAGGAAGGGTATTGACACTGGGGGCACTTTGGATATTCCTGCATCCACAAGAAGCTTAAAGGTCTCGACTGGAAGAGACAGAGGGCACTTGTATAACAGTCTTAATTAAGCTTCATAACCTTGCAAATGAGTGGGGCAGAGGGGGGGTTGCAATTATACCATTACCCGGGGCACCTGTCTCTAGGTTCTAGTACACTGTTCACTCAAGTCACCCATCCGCAAGCTCCGCCTATGATGTAACAGATATCATTCCACTTGTTAATCAGAAAAAAACATGCCAGACTCCGTAAATCAAGGACTCCATCACGGCTCTTGCAGAGGATACTAGTCGTCCTCAGGAGACACCATGAGGATTCTACATATGGCCACCGGCTTTTGATGCTGCCTTTGACCCTCCTGCGAGCGCTCTGCGCTGGGGTCAGCGTCTTGCAGAGGCAGGAAAGCGGTTTGGGCACACCCCAAAGCCCTGCCAGGGGCGCAGGAGGGATGCCCGTGGCCGAGAACCCACCGATGCTGGCCTGTCGGGATCTCCTCACATTTGAACTCAGGCTCATCCAGGCCGGGCCAGTCCCCGCCGCCCCACAAACGAGGGGCCCGACACGCGGCACACGTCACCGACATCCTGCAGTGAACCAGCGCTGATGCCGGCGGCTCAGGACCAGGCGGCGGCGGCGGCTCTAGGGACACGGAGGCCTCCGTGGCCGCAGGCTGGGCAGCCGCAGGGCAGAGGCCGGAAAAGCGGAACGTCCCGGGGAACCCAGCGGCGGCTCACGCGCCTCCCCACCGTTCTTGGGCTCGGGCCGGCGAGGCAGCCTCAATCCGGGACCTCCGCTGATCCCACGGGCGCCGCAATGGGGACGCTCGCGGATCCTGACAGCTGGAGTACTCACCTCCTCTGCTAGCCCGGCTGCTACGTCGCCGGCTGTCACCGCAGACCACTGCCTACCCCGCGCCTGCTCCGGATGCTATTTAAAGGCGCCGCCGTCACCTCTGCGCTGTGGCGGCGAACCAGCCTCTGCCGAGTGCGCGTGCCGCTCCCGCCCCGCCCAGGCCCTGCCCCAGGCCCCGCCCCCGCCGCGCGCTCACTCAGGCCCCGCCTCCGCCGCGTGCCCGCCTTCAGGTCTAGGTGCGCGCTTGTAGCGCGGGCAGCCAGCGTGCTGCGCTTGGCGGGGTTCGGGGAATCGCTTTTCGACAAAAAGCGTCCAGTCTCCCGAACGTGCCTGTGATTTCATAACGACTATGAAGAGGGGCAGAGGGTAAACTGAGATGCCTCAGCCCAGGAGCCCCACCAGCCCTGGGGTCTGCGGGGGCCGGGAGACGCTCGTGCGCATCTTCACGCACCATGGCGCGCCCGCTAACTTCTCGGCTACCTAGGTGTTCTGCAGAAGGGGCCAGGGGCCTTGGGGGCCCCAGAGCTTTCTTTTCCTGTTTTTTTTTTTTTTTTTGGCACCGACGTGCGCGACTCCTTTTAACTAATTTCACCACGTTCCCAATGAGGGGTTTTGCCACCGCCCCCGCGCGGCAAGACTGGCCTGGACTTCTGCAATGCCCTGGACGTGAAGCAACCCTGGGCACGCCAGTCCGGGAGAGTTAGAGCGGGAGGCAGCCTCGCCATTGCTCAAGTGTGGGGTTCTTCCGCCAAGTTCCTGCGGCCTCTCCACCCTGCTCAGCCCCGCCCCTGCGGTTTTCAGGGGTTCTGCGTCCAGGCGATACCCACTGCGGGTTTTCAGATGCAATTTACTTCCAGGAGGCTGGTATTCCAAATGCTCTTGTTCCTCTTGGCGCCCGAGGCCTGCCAGCATCCTCACCAATCACGGTGGTCCCAGCTGCAGTGGTGCCGGTGCCCAGCATCAGTGGAGGGCTGTTACCTGGTGCCGCTTTGAATTTGAGTCCTGGGAAGAAAGAGTTCTTGTTACAATAGATGCTTTGGATCCTGTGTATTGAAACCTTTCACACACATTATGTTCCCGAGTTTTTATTCCCTGATGAGGCGTGTGTTGGCATCATCTCCCTTTTACAGATGAGAAAACTGAGGCAAAGGCAGGTTGAAGGCTAGTGGGGGCAAAACCACACCTGGAACTCAGGCCACCTGCCTCCAGAGCCGCACATAATAAGCATGGGAACAGTGTATTTGTGCGGCGGGCCTTGGGAGAGGTGGTTCAGCAGACTCAGTCAAGTTTAGATAAAAATATTCAGGAAAAAAACATGGTACGTCATTGCTGTGCAGTCAGGCTTAAAGTAAGTGCACCTGTGCTGAGCATGTGCATAAGAGTTCTTCATGCCATGATCCCCTAAATAATGTAGCACAATAACTACTGACACAGCATTTACATTGCATTCAGTATTACCAGGAATCTAGAGATGATGTAAAGTACAGCAGAGGGTGTGCCTGCCAACACCGTGCTGTTTTACTGAAGGGCCTCGAGCAGCCCCAGATTTGGGGGTCCACAGAAGCCTCGGAGATGGTGCCCCACTGATACCGAGGGGGGACTGCGCTCACTCTGGAAGCAACTCAAGTCGATGCCACCCTGTAATATCCAGAGGCCTTTCCCCGGGCTGTTCTCACTTTTCCAGGTCGTCTGAACATGGCAGCAGTAACTGTTTCCTGGCCAGTGAGCTGGAGCAGTAAGAGGACGGCGGTCGGCCTCTCCCAGCTCAGTTCTCTTAGAGCCCCGTCTAAATCTAGATCTTCCAGATCTAGACTCTTCCTTTAAAGGAAGAAGTGGACTCCACTTTCATTTTTATTAGTTTACACTTGGCTAATCCTTGGTTGCTCTGCCCAGGTCTCCTTCCCCCGCCCACGATTTCATCATCTCGGCCTCTCCTTTTTCCTCTCCTCCAACCAGTCCCTCAGCACCACGTGTCCTTGGCCACTTCCCCATTCTGTGGTGGATCAGTGTGCTTGGGCTGCCGTAACAGAACACCACACACTGGGCGGCTTCAACAACAGAAATGTACTGTCTCGTTGCAGATCCACAAGTTCAGAATGAAGGTGTAAGCGGTGTTGGTTCCTTCTGACGTCCGTGGGGGAAGAATCGGTTCCAGGCCTTTCTTTCTGGCCTAAGAATGGTCACCGAGGAAGGGTTTCCTCACGTGGGTTTCCCTCCGCGGTGTCTGAGCCCAAACTTCACCTTCTGTGGACACCAGTCCCATTGCATTAGCATCTGCCTGAATAACTAAATATTGTCTCAGGTCCCTGTCAGCACTAACACTAAAAATAAATAAATAAATAAAACTCTATTCCCCAATCATTTCAAAAAGTTTCACCATTTATGGGGCTGTCCTGTGACCATCAGGTAGAGGCTGTACTGGGAGGCAGCACTGCACAGGGCTGGGGAGGGGGGCTACTCTGCACTAACCCCCACTGCACCTTCCCTAAGACAGGAACAATAGTCTCATTATAATAGCAGTCTCATTACTGTAATAATAACCGAACATGGAGGGTGTTGCAAGGGCCCGCCGTGGCCCATGGCCTCGGTTTTCTCATTAAGTGGCGGTTCTAGACTCCATAGTTGGGGATTTCACTTTGGAACTCAGGGAGTCTTAAACCTCTTTTCTACTTTCTTTTTTCCAAACAACTCTTTAGCCAAGTGAACAAGAGCCAATTCAAGGTTGTAGCGGAGCAAATTCCCTAATGGAAGCTTGAGTCTCTTTTTCGAGTTGTTTTCACTCTCATTACATTTTTGATGATTAAAATTTTGTAGCAAATCCTAGCTAGATACAAACCTACATCTGCCTCGAACTGATTGATGGCTTCTAGAGAAGCAAAAGAATGTCAAGTCCTTCTGGGGACAGGTTGACAATGGCCTTGTCTTGAAAGCTCCCACTTGTGACCGTCAACTGCCAACTTGTGATTATTAGTGATCTTCCATATCTCCTGAAGTACAGACACATCAGTTAATAATGACCAATGTGCTTTTAATTCTAGGTCTTGGTAAGTGGGTGATGGCGACAGCGCTGGGTGTTTCCACTCGGTCTGTGTTGAGGCCACGTCTACCTTAGGCAGCTCCCGTCTCTCCCATGAAGCTGTGAGTGCCTGTTCATCTTCGTAAGCCCATACTCCTCTGCACAGTCTTTACCCATTGTAGGCACTCATTTGTTGAACTGGACACATTTTTTTCCTAACTACTGACATGTGATCAACGGCAACCAAGGGTGGATCCAGGTTTTGTGGAGTCTGAAGTTCACACAATTCAGAGGACCTCTTTAAGAAAATTATACCCCTGGCCGGTGTGGCTCAGTACTTGGAGCATCATGCTGTAACTGAAAGGTTGTGGATTTGATTCCTGGTCAAGGCACATGCTCAGGTTGCAGGTTCATTGCAGGCGTGAGTGCGGGCAAGTGTGATCCCTGGTCCTGGTTCAGCTCCGGGGTCTGGGTGAGTACAAAGGCAACCAATCCCTAATTGATGTTTCTCTCTTCTCTCTCTCTCTCTAAAAAATCAAATGAAAAAATATCCTCTGGTGAGGATAGAAAAGAAAATGTGATACGAATGTGATTTTTTAAAATATATTTAAAACTTATTTATCTTAGAGAGGAAGGGAAGGAGAGAAGGAGAGAAACATCAATGTGTGGTTGCCTCTCATGAGTCCCCTGCCAGGAACTGGCCTGCAACCCAGGCATGTGCCCTGACTGGGAATCGAACCACGATCGTGGGAATGTGAATTTTTAATAATGAAAACAGAAATATAGTAGAATAGAAAATTTAAAAAGTATATAACAAAAAATTATAATAGCATAAATTTCACACAAAAATTTATAATAGCATAAAATTTCACTAAGAATTTTAATCTTTTTCTCTACCTCTATAATAAGTTTCTTACCCTAAATTTTTGGCTGCACACACATTAACTGCTTCTTTATATGGCATTTTTAGTAAACTTTATTTATAGAGTGGTTTTAGATTTACAGAAAAGTTACAGTTTTCATAAACTCCGTGCCCAATTTTGGCTATCATGGATACTTCACGTTAGTCTGGTACATTTGTTATAATGAATGAGTCAGTACTGATGCATCTTTACATCTGAAGTTTATGCTTTGTCCAGATTTTCTTTGTTTTCACCTAACGTCCTCTTTCTGTTCCCAATCAGGGCACTATATTTTCTTGTCACGTCTCCTTAGGCTTCTCTTGGCTGTGACAGTTTCTTGGATTATCCTTGTTTTTGATGACCTCGACAGTTTTGAGGACTATTGGTCATCTGATTTTGTAAAATGTCCTTCTGCTGGGATTTGACCAATGTTCTCATGAGAAACCTGGGGTATCGGTTTGGGGGAGGAATGCATTTTTTTATAATACAATTTTCTATAGAGAAGGAAAATGCATGGTTGATGGAATTTTTTTTAAATTTCAGTTTTGATAAGACATTGAAGAGACCTGGATCCACTGATTTTCCTTTTAAAAGAATGCTGATCAGAAAAATATTCGATAGTATAGCTTCTGGCTATGTACCTTTCACCCTGGGTTTCTCTTTACTGCCCACATACTTCCAGATGACCTAGGACAGGTTGATGAGGAGATGGGACGGGAGCCCCAGTGCTGGAACGTCGAGAGAGAGGGGAGGGATAGTCCCGGAGATGACCCTGTGCTGGGAAGGCTAGAAATACACGTGCGAGACTGGAAACCCCACAAATATGCCTCCCCAAACCCAAAGTACTAGATTCCCAACCCCAGGTCCTCGTAGCTGGGTTCCAAAAATGAGCTGGGCACTTCAGCACTGCCCAGTGAGGGGTGGCGATGGAAGGACGGGGGTGGAGCATGGCAACAGCATGAAGTGATTGTAGCTGACTATGTTACTTTTGCAAGCTTTGCAGAAACATTCAACTACCTGAACACAGGACTAGAGCCTTCTGGGAGTGAGGGGCCCTGAACATAAAGCCTCATCGGCTCCTGCCGTCGACAGGACTCTCCGCAGCATCATTGTGCTGCTGCTCACATCGGTTGGTAAGGCCTCTTGGGCTTCCGGCAGTAAGGAAGGTATTTCCAGCAAGCAGGTGCTCTTCTGTAACTATCAATGGGTATCACATGGTCTTCAGTGGCTCCAATAAGGCCACAGTCCTCCCTTCTTGCACACCCTCTTTCTGTTTTAAGTGCAATTGGTCTGCTTACGTCATTCACTCCACCAGGGAGCCCCACACACACTGCAGCCGCAGCGTAGCTCTGGGAGAGGTAGGCATAGGGTATTCATCCTGCACCCCACAACACTTGACTTTCCATGTCTTGAGGTGACGGTACTTGAGTTACTCAATGTCAAAGATAAATTATAAATATCTCAATGTTCCAATTCAACTAGCTTCTCATTGTCAACCAGTAAAATTCAAACTCTTTACAAGAATTTCTGGGATGTCCTTCCTAACCTGTTCCTGCTTCCTCACAGGCCAGCTCCCCACCATACCTCTCTCCAACCACTGGATGTACTTGCAGGTTATCGGCAAAGGCTCTGGAGTCAAAATGCTTAGATTCAAATGCCACACCTTACGGGTTACAGGGCCAGGGCAAGAAACCCTCTGATGCCAAGTTTCTTATCTGCCAAGTGAGAACTCTAATGCGTTGCATCCTATCTATATCACAGTCTGCTGTAAGAAGCACCACTATTTTATGTATACTTAAGAAAGAAAATAAATGCTGCCCATTATAGTTAAAGACATCATCGATTGGAAGATGCCCCCTAGATTGATTTGCTTTGACTGAATAGCAAATCGCCTTAAAATTTAATGGCTTAAAACAACCACCATTTATTAATGCCTGATTCTGGGGTCAGCACTTGGACTAGGGGCTTCCTCTGTGGGTCTCTCCTGCCGCTGGTCAGCCGGTGACGAAACTGGGGCTGGATGGTCTGGGGACAGCCTCCCATGTTCGGTGCCTATCAGGCTGTTTCCTGGGGTCCCTTACTTC